CACACACTAAACACTATACAGCGTTATATATATAATTTAGAATTAAATATATAATTAAATAAGAATTAATTAAATAAGAATATTAAAGATTACATTTTATTTTTAAATTGTATTAATTAAATATTACCAATTATTAATTAAAAAGCCTATCATAGAAAAAAACATTTTTATCTACAGCTTGCAAATTAAAAAAAGTTATCTATTAGCAAACAGTAATTCTTGGCACCCTTCCACCCATAATGCATCAGGAACATTCACAGCCTCTCACTGCCTCTTCACCTATTGATGTCTCAACATCAACATCTTGTCATCTGGGTGATCATCTCAAAAAAATGCATACTAGATCTTGCTCATGGTCTGTCTGTCTGAGATCTATTCTCCATTTGAAGCAAATGAATATCCTGTGCTGAACTTCAAAAAGTCACATGACAACTTTCCAACAGGGTTGTGTATGTGAACATATCAGTGACTTGTTAGTGTTGTGTGCATTTGTGAGAGAGTATATTCATGCCAGTCTTGTAAGTAGCCCTTTGCTTTATGACTAACTGGCGGCGGTGTATTTGTTTGTATGTGTGCGTGTAATGTGAAAAATAGTAGCATTGCAGCTGCTCAGACAATAATTAGCTCAGAGACATGTGTGGAAAATAACGAGCAACTATAATTAATGTCTTAACGAGGCGATGACCTTCTTTGTTTAGACCCAAACTCTCTCCAGGGACTTTAAACATGACACGCTGAGTATAAACAGTTTCCATTTGCATGCTAAAACAACCTACATGGCCCATTAATACGGTGACCGAGAGAGCTCAACGTGCCGCAAATGAAAAAAAACACATGCAAATAGAAAAACATAACAACACAACCAAATAAAGAAACGTGCTGCAAATAGGCACAGACCACATCGGAAATGTTTAAGGGAACCGCAAAGTGACGAACATGGCTGGGACATATTTATCAATGTTTGCTCTGAAAGGTGAGATTTTTGTTTATTTTAACATCCTGATCATACGATTCCTTTGCTTCTTCTTCTTCTTTTTTTTAATTATTAGCCTAAATAAGATGATGAAATTACTGTATCACAATTACTGTAACTGTGAAAGCATGTAAGCTGACTAACTTTACAACTTGCCTTACAAAAATTAACCATATGGTTTAACTATTAAAATTAATTAATTAATAAACACATTATGTAAAAAAATAAATAAAAACAAAAAATAGTTACTATAGTTAAACCATGGTAACCACAAATTAACCATGGATTTACTACACTGACCATAGTTTAACCATGGTATTTGTACAACTGTGGTTATACAAATGGTAATCACAATAAAAAAAAAGGCTAATTTTCGTTTTGTTGGGGTAATTTTGGCATTGTTGGGGTCCTCCCATTGTGGTCTGTACTTGCGTTTCTGTATTTGGTTGTGTTGTGAGCATTTGCAGGGCGTTTCTTTATTTGGTTGTGTTGTGAGTATTTGCAGCGCATTTGCATGTGTTTTCTGAAGTTGCAGCGCGTTGAGCTCTCTTGGCTACCGTACATTAAGGGCAATAGCACACTAGCAACAAACAGCCACACGAGATATTCATACACAAATAAACATAAACTAACCTATACAAACACTCAGATCTGCTGTAAAGTGTCTAGAGAGGTGTAAAATGAAGCTTTACACAAAATGGATGTGTACATAAACGTTTTACCTCTGTTTCTTCTACTTGGCAGTAGAATAATTGTTGTTCTTCTAAGAAATATACTTGGCTTATACAGTAAGATATTAATGGATATAATGAATATGATTTGCTTGTTATAGAACAGTTGATCTACATTTTTGCCTAATAACTTTTTTCTGCTTGTTTCTGACCAAACCTGACTCTAGCCATCACCACAGCAGTAACCCCAGAACAACCTGCTTAGTAATCCTCACATAGCAGTGACATTAACACTCCACATAAGTTGTTTTTCCCAAAACACATAAAATAACAGTTTACTTTCTAACAGTCCAATAATGCTCAGCTTTGCTAGTATAATTGACTTAACTTCTCATTATGAAAACCACATTAGGTGAATTTGGCTTTTTGATTATGTTTAAATGAAAGTTTTTGAATAGAAGTCTCTTTTGCTTACCATACCAAGACTACATTTATTTGGTCAAAAATACAGTAATATTGAGAAATATTATTCAAATTTTAAAAAACTGTTTTCTATCTTAATATATTTTTAAAATGTAATTTATGCATGTGATGGCAAATTTAATCTTAATTTCTTCAAGGTAATTAATTACCTGAAATTCTTTGAGTGTATTCAGCTTGTTAGGGTTTATAATGTACATTGTAAATGATCAGCCAACTCCCAGAACATGAATTCCTTCATTAATGGTACTTCCTGTCAGAGTCATCATGTATTATGGAGCAATGGAGAACCACAGGAGGAGAAGAGGAAAACAGGACACATCTGGGTAAGACAACACACACACACACACACACATCAACATTTACACCGTGTGTTAACATGTCCTGCACACTGGGTTTCCCTTCTATTAGAGTGGACCTAGAGTGCTTTCTGATCAAGAAAGTTTTTGCAGTGTTGAAAACTATAAACCAAAACTGGTTTAAAAATGCACTCAGAAATGTTTTGGTTATAAATAAATAAATACATACATACATACATACATTATTTATTTATTTATATATATATGTATACCTGTATATATACTGTATATACGGTTGGTCGATATGCAAGTTTTCAGTTACTGTTGGCATTACAGAAATTCAGTTTTTATCTTGTCTGTTTATATGAAACTTTTTTTTCATAAGTACAATTCATTTATGTATGATACTTTTTAATGAGAACTATAGGCTACTATATATTTTTAATAATGTAGACCAATTTAGCTAAAATATTTAACCACAAGCATGTAAGGGAGGATGTGTGGAACTTAGTGCATGACAGGCATTTGAATTCTGCAGAAATCTTTGTAATTTTTTGTAAAGTTCTGTGCATGCAAATTCTTTGATGGGCCTGTCAGTAACCCTTTCCGGTTCAAAGACACGTCGGACCACAGGCATCCAGCTCTGTCTTAATACTCTTATCGGCCACCTGCTTTGTTTGTTGTACTAAAAGAAACAGCAGCTGTCTGTGAAAACGTAAAAAGGACGTAGTCTCACTCAGTCTACACAACGAGGAGGAGTCTGTCTAAGAAAGATTTACAGAGAATTTAACAAACTTCAGAAAATTTCAGAACTTACAGAGAATTTCTCATAAAAGCACAGCATACTTCAAACCCCAGGCTAATGTATCAGTCCCTCTACACTGGCTTGAGTAACTTTGACTGTATGGATACATCTCGTATCTCACTCCAGAAATCCTGTTATACATCCTGGTTTGTTTCTCATACAGTCAAATGTCACATCTGACCTTCTGTGTCACTTGTAGATGTGAACTTGCTCAAGAGAGAGATTGTTGGTACTGATGAAAAATTATACACAGCAGTGCATGGTGGTGCGTGTCAAGGTGTTGAGAAATTATTACTCACTGCTGTCTGAGATCGTTTGATTGTCCCAGTCCCAAGCCTCCACGATCAGAGTGTACGCTCGCTAGGAGATAGAGAGAAAGAGCTGGTTAGCTAATATACACAGACATATACGTCTCCACAGTCAAAGTCTTTGCTGAATCCCTGACAATTTTCAAGCGACAGCTGAAAACCCATCTCTTTCGAAGCTACTTGACTTCATCATAAAAAAAAAATTAAAAAAAAATCTCTCTCTTTATTTATTCCTTCTCTTTCTAGCTTGTACTTATTTGAACAATGTCTAAGAACTTGGTATTACAACCACTTCCTGTGTCTGTTTGCCTCTTTAAGAAGAATCGCTTTATGTATCCCCCAATTGTAAGTCGCTTTGGATAAAAGCGTCTGCTAAATGACTAAATGTAAATGTAAATGTAAGACAAACACAAAATATCAATAAAACACACACACAAAACAAAACAATGACACAAGAAGCACAGGCATAAAAATTCATATTAGTATACCTACAGACTCAAAGTGAAAGAAAGACTTATTACACTACCATTCAAAAGTTTAATTTATTGAAGAAAAAATCTTACTGACCCTAAACTTCTGAACAGTAGCGTTATATTGAGACAATATATGGGAGAGAATTCAAGAAAGTATAACATTTGTTGGGCCAGCTATATGAATAGATGTCATGCCTTTCAAATAAAAGAGTTTTTTATATTAACTTCACAAAACCACTGGTAAAAGGGCATCTGGAGGCGTCCTCGAAGAAAAAAACTTATTCATGAAGTATAATAATATAGGGATTTTTGTCAGGTATTCTAGAGTTGGGTTAGTGTGTAGCCATTATGAAAACAATGGAAATCTATTTTACATCCTCATATTGATACCGTGTTTAAAACAGCAATGTGAATAACCTGGTTCCCACGGTCTGGTGACTGATTAGCTGGATTATAAACCAGATGAATGATGAAATGGTGCAATGATGTTTGTAGGAGCGTGTATCAGGTCACTGCTGTAGTCAACAATTCATAAATGATTGCGTGATGTTTATGCATGTACTTTTTTCACACAGACACATGCTTCAACAGTGTTCATTTATTTCATGGGAAAATGGTTTGCTAACTCAAGTCAAATAACAGCATGGGCAGAATGACTTCAAAAGGTTCAAAAGGCTCCAGAACCATGCTGCGGTACTTCACAGTGAGTGAGGTGAACTGACTGTAAGATGGGAGAGGTCATGTTTTTTCACTCAAGTGAGGGGTTTTGCATGTTTCTTCCCTTTAATCTGACAGAACCTGAGTGCTTTTGAATAACAAACATTGGCCTGGATGAACATTTCAGGAAATGTCTGAAACATTAGGAAGAAATCTCTGGGACAGGATAGCACACAGAGTGTAATACGCTTCTGTGTAATTAAGAGCTTTTTTCTTCAGCTTAATTCTGCAAATGCAAATGGTTTAAAAATCACACCACCATTCATTTCCAACACTTTGGCACAACAAATGCAATTAAACAGCTTTTTATGATGTATGATATAAAGCTGTGGAAAACAGTGAACATTTCTGAAGAGGCAACTTTAGCAGGTCTATGTTTGGCTGAAAGGTTGTATTTTTTGGTTTGGGCAGAGATCAGGTTTACTGTGGCAGCAAGGCATGAGAAACAAGCCCATGGATTTTGTGTGCTGACACTCATGCATCTTTTCTCTGGAAGCATGAATCAGCACGCTAACATCAGTGAAGCCAAACCACTCAAACTTGTAGGTGCATGCAGTAAATGGTATAGGAAGGAAAGACTCCTGATACAGGCATGGCTTCACTAAACCTCAAATAAAATTCAAGCGGAATGTTTTGCCATTTCATTGACATTTATATATGTACATTTTATATATGTACATTTTACAGGCTATAACAGATCCGTAAAGTATGCAAAACCCTTCAGAAAACATTTAACATGAAAATAAGGAGTAACGGTGGTAGAACCTGAAGGTTGCTCATTAAGAAACAAACAACTGATGGACAACTACAAAATACCATCACCATCCAAATATAAAATTATTATTGAACTTAAAAGTGTGTCAGTAATACTGCACCAGAAATGTCATCACATTTGTTGTCTTGTTGGGTTCTGTCATTCTGTCCATAAGTTTTTAAGTTGTTTTCCTTTGCACTAGGTGTCTCGCTGTTTGTCCTGCTTCCTGTGTCAAATCTGCCTTGAGAAACCAGCTTTCTGTTATATTCTGCTGCTCTGCATCAGTGTAAGTGTATGCTGTGTGAATAACATATTAGTAGCCAGCAAGATAATACCTGACATCATTTCAATTTCTTAGAGAAATGTGAAAACGAATCATAACACAGGGCTACACTTTTAAAATGGGCAAGGCACACGCAAACTATTGAGCCAGATCTTATGCGTCATAAACTGGAAAAAAAAAAACAAGTGATATTTGTTTCACTAAAATATTTCAAAGTTCATGCAATTAAGCCTGCATGGAGCTCTTTGCAATCATCATCACATCCTCATGAAAACTTCAAGCAAACTCTATTCTCTAAGACAGACTTCTTGATTTTATTGTTCATTACTCTTTATGATTCCCTTTCATTTGGTCATGAAAAATGAGCAAAATGCAATGAATATGGTAGATATACACCACCGTTCAAAAGTTTGGGTTGGTGAGACTTTTTTTTTCTTTTGTATCTTTCTTTTTTGTCAACTTATTCTCACTAAGATAATTTATTTGATCAAAAATACAGTAAAACTTAAATATTGTGAAATGCTACAATTTTATATTTTTCCATTTTAATATATTTAAAAATATACTGTAATTTATTCCTGCAATCCTGAATTTTCAGCAGCCATTACTCCAGTAATTACTCCACTTTTGTGTCACATGATCCTTCAGTAATCATTCTAAAGATGATGATTTGGTGCTCAAGAAACATTTCTTATTAATATCAATGTTGAAAAAAAAACAAAACAAAAGAACAGCATTTATTTGAAATAGAAATCTTTTGTATCATTATAAATGTCTTTACTGTCACATTTGATAAATTTCATTTGATCAAAATGTGTGTTCACATATTATCATAATCAGCTTACAAAATAAAATCATCTGTGTATGCAGTACTGCCATAATAAAGGGACCGTCCACCCCCCCAAAAAAAAAGAAAATTACAGGTTTAGAACAGCTTGAGTAAATGATGACATTAAATTACATTTTTGGATGAACTATTTCTTTAATGTATTTAAGTACTTTGTTACTATGCTTACATTTCAAATCCATTAAAAATAATCATTACCGTGGGAAGAACAATGAAACTAGTTTAACTTATGTTTGGTTAAAGTTAACTTAATATTGTATTTTTGTGCAATATGTTATTTTTTCCACAAACATTTTCTTTGACAAGAGACAATAATTGGCAGACCCCCTGCAGTCCTGCCACAGACCCCCTAGGGTTTGCCTACCGCTTTATAATATCAAGAATAACATCCAAACCCATTAAATGTGTCAGGATGTTGAGGAATCAGTGTCAGCAAACTAATGAAAGGCTTTGTGTAGCATTAGTTTGCAGCATGAGCATATTGATGTTAACACCTGGTCAGTGCAGTGGTGTAAGACAAAGTTACTAATCTCCAAAGACAGCCATCAGACACCAACCACCAGTCCAGGGAGGAGCAGGAGCAGGGAAGATTTTCTCTTTCCTTAGTTAGAGGGAAATAAGACACCCACATGCATATACACATGCCAGCAAATACACAGGAACACGCACACATTGGCAATGAATAAATTACACCTCCTAAGTGACACTGAGCAGGCAGTGCCACAGCTTTTACACCTCAGAGGGCAGTGAGGAGGACGTATATTGTGAGAATCCATGTGCCTTTTATTATCATATACACTCAGACCAGATTTTAATATACCAGTCCCTATAGGTGATGATACACAGGGAAACTTTTTGAGCAGTGTTGCTGAGCAATGTTGCCGTCAACGGGCAACCACGTGAGACACAGGGCCCTCGACCGATCTAAAGTATCCAGATAGAAATTTGTTGCCCATTCTCAATGGGAAAGTGCCCAAGCAACATTGCTCAAAAAAGTTGCCTGGCAACACTGCTCAAAAAATTGCCCTGTATATCATCACCTTAAGGATTCAGGTCAAATGCAAATCAATGCACAGTAACACACTTACACGGGAACTGTTCAGCCTAAAAGCTGAATGTGATATGTGCAGGCTGGTAACACACCTGTCTAAGTCACTTCATACCCCATGTGCTTGGGTTTCTGTGGCACAGAATTAACAATGTGATTCCATTGTGTGCAGTTTTTCAGTGAAAGAGGTGGTGGTTTATTAAAGCGAGAAGCTGTGTATTTGATTTTATCATGATTAAGATGTGCTGTTAATTTAAAGCTCTTTAAAATAAATATTTCAAATAAGTTTAAAATGACATTTAATATGAATGTCAGACTCAGAAGTAACGGTGGTAAAGACTGAAGGCCGTTCATAAAAAAACAAAAATTAACTCTGCAGATGAAATTTAGCTCTGTAGCTAATTCTGGGGCAGTCTTTGACTGCCCATTGTCCCTGTTAAATAAAGAATAAAAAAAAAAAATAGTAAAAACAAATAAATTAATTTTAATTCTAACGACAGACAACTACAAAAATATTAATGAGCTATATTATATAAACTTATGAATGTGGAAGAATATTGTACCAAAAGTGTAATCACACTTGATGTCTTTTTGGTTCTGCCATTTAGTTAATTCGTTTTTTTATTGTTTTTCTTTTGTAAACGTCCTTTTTAAACAAGTGTTTCACTGTTTGTCCAACTTCTTGTTAAAAGTTATCAAATCTGCCTTGAGACACCAGTTTTCTGTTCTAATCTTCTGCTCTGCATCTGTGTGAGTGAGTAACTTCCATCATTTCAATATCTAAAGAAATTAGAAATAAATCAGAACACTGCGAAAGGTATAGAGGGCTGCACTTTTCAAATGGGCAAAAAAACAAAAACAACAACATGAAAGTCTATTACAAATTTCCTGAAGGCATATTATAGTTGTACGTGAGGAACAAAATTCACA